GGCGCCGCCACATCTTGGCCGCAACTGGGGGAGATTACTAAGATCGATCTCCCAAATCTTCCTCCTCTCTTCCCCTCCCTCTTTTCCTACGGTGGAAGATCCTGTGTACGACATGTGGGGTCCGCTTATAAGCATGACTATTATTTCAAAAGCTTCAACTATTGAACCAAACGAGTTTTTTTAAAAGCCACGGCCCATATTCCACAGCTGCTTTTTAAAAAGCCACAGCCCACAGCTACTTTTTCAAACGCCACAGCTTAACCAAACACACCCTTATACTTGATCATTGTGTCAAGATGAAATATGACTATTAAAAGTAAATGGAAAGAGTATTATGTAACTTTTTTTAAAAAAAAACATATTTCTTTTACATATATTGTTGATCAAAATAACATATTAAAAGACTGTGTCAAAATTTAAAAATACTTATATTTTGAGACGGATGGAGTATTTGGAAAAGTATACTTAGGCTGTGTTTAAATCCAAAGTTTGGATCCAAACTTTAGTCCTTTTCCATCACATTAACCTGTTATACACATACAACTTTTCAGTTACATCATCTCTAATTTCAATCAAAATCCAAACTTTACGCTGAACTAAACACAGCCTTAGTGGGGTGTGCATTACAACCTTTCCATGTCAGTCAAGTCAATCGAATGATACATTGGATTTAGGCGGAATCGTAGCAGGCGATTTCGCGTAGTACAGTATTATCTTCTTTTTTTTTTCTGATTGATGAGTAGGATATTCTGGCGGATAGGTTGGTGGGGCCATGGGCCCGCCTAGAAATCCTCTCCTTTTTCTTCTTTCTCGCGACGGTTTACGTATGTGGGCGTGGCCGCGTGGGCGCTCGTGTTCGCAGTCGCGTCGCGCCGCCACCAAACCCCAGGGACGGTGGTGGAGGCGTGGAGCCACCTGGAGAACGTTGGCCAAGACCGCCTCACTCAGTCACTCTCACCCGTTCAGAGCGTCGAAGGGAGACTGTTTCTCGCTCCCCATCTACTATACCTCCTCTGCTTTTCTTCTGCTCTGTTTCCCCTGCTTTGCAGGAGTAGTAGTTCTTAGTGTTCTCCTTGCAATTAGTATTAACCTGAAATTTAATTCCTCTGGCTAATCCTTTTCTTTAACATGAGAAAATGTCACTAATACTAATGGCGGACTAATCGAGTGAGCCATGTGTGTCTCTTTCTTTCCTTTTTCTTTTTTTCTTTCTTGAATCGCTATATTTGCATCAGCCATCAGGTGCCTGGAATTTTGGGCGAATTTGCTTCAGGCTCAGTCTGATGCAAAAGAAAACAACTACTCCTACTAAGTAACGTTTTGTTTCAGACTGCATTACCAAACGCAATCATCACAACCTGTTGGCTAGTAGCACCTAGCATCACTGCTTATTTGTAGTCAGGAAAGGATCATTCACCTCTCACTCAGAGTCTGCATTTACAATTGGTCATTCATTCATCTGCATTCGACAACTGATGCGTTTTTGGTTGGCACCCGCCATTCACATCCAACTGCTCTACTCATTCATCCGCATACAACCCAGTGCAATTTACAAAAACAAAACACTTCTATTTGTATATTACAAACTATAAATGTGAGTCTTAAAACAAAGAAGAGTTTTGATTTTGTAATGCTTTCCAGTCCCTGTTCCCTGCTGCTCGTTCTTTAAATGTAAATAACTTTTATTTCTCTTAATGGAAAAAATTCGCCTCTGGCGTATTCCCGAAAAAAAAACAAAGAAGAGTGGTCTGAGCAAAAGAGCAACTGAACTTACACCGTTACAACATAAGAAACTCAGTCGTGTGAGTCTTAAAAGGAAAAATTCTGTATGAGCACAAAACATACAAAACTACACGGACAAATGACAAAATGGCATTGATAACCACAACAAGGATTCGGTTACCACACCGAGTGATCATGCATCCTCCATCCATCAGCAATTTGCTAGGCATTTCCAACAGCAACTCTCCTTAAGCAGCCCTTGGACAGCCATCTTTGTGCCTGGGAAATCAGGGCGTTCTGCCAGTCTCATATAGCATCTCAGAGTAAGAAGAACCCTGGCTGCCTCCATGTCAGCCTCAATTTCCTTCAGGTTCAGTGCTTGAGCAACATCGAACAGGCCTCCTTTGCACTCAATCCAAGGAATTGTGACGATGTCAAAGGATCTACGCACAAGCAATGCAACATCGTATATAGCAGGAAAGAATGCTCTCCGGTGTCCAATGTAAGAACACCATTGGCTTGGAAGGTCTTGGGGAGAAAGGAATGACCTGATCATCCTGGCGATCCCATGTGCTCCGTGAAATGTCACCCAAGATATGTTGGGGTCACCCAATGCCCCACAAGATGCCATAAACTTAGCAAACTGTTGAGGATGCACACAGCCATTGTCTGCCCTGGAACTGATGCAGAATTTCCAGGCACGACTGTAAGCCAACATTCCTTCAGCGTTCATAAATGTGACGATGATTTCGTACGAGTCAGAATCCTTAAGAAATGTCTTCATGAGTTCATAATTTTTTTGGGCTTCAACTGCGTAGGAGCGCTTACCCAATTGAGCATGGATTACCTCTACTCAAACGATGTTGAAGTTGCTGGCCACCAGCTCTTCAATTCGTCTTGCCTCTTCATCCAACTTATGTGGTAGCATCTTGACAACGTAGATGCTTCCAGTATGGTCGTCAATATGGCGTGCACATTTGATAGCCATGTTCCACTCCTCCAACCCAGCAAGCAATCCCCGCCGAGCATCCATGCGGTGCATCTGGTGACCTGAAAGGCTGACGATCTTGAAGAAACAGGACAATGTAAGCAGCGCGTCGGAGCCATGGTCTCCCCCTTGCAGCAAGCGGAGGAGGAAAGCCAAGTCATAGTCGCCGTGATAGGCGACCCAGGTGACGGAGCCGTCGCCGAACGGGAGGTGGCGCAGGAGCCCCTCGTAAACAAACTCCGGCGTGACGCCTCTTTTGCTGTGCTGCGTGAGATCATGGCCTTGGCTGGATAGGAAATGTATCGACTCGCCATGGTACTTAGGCGAATTGACGTTGAAGTCGAAGTTGATCTCCAGTGCTATCGGCGGCGAGGGGGCTTGTTCGCCTTCGACATCACCGACGAATGCAAATGTGAGGCCCATCTGAACTATGTCACCTCCGTTCACGTACCTACGCACGTGTTGGTAGCAGCTGGTGGAGGTTACTGGCCTATGGCTCATGTTGGTGGCGGCGTCCGCTGTGAACTCCATGTCGACGGCGATGTAGAGGTTGCGATGAGGTTGATGAAGCGCTTCCAGCACGAGCTTGAATTGCTCCATGCAATTCTCCTGCCACACGCTCTGCACGGTGGCCATGGCGAGGTAGTGCGCGAGCGTGATGTCGTCCGCAGCGTCGAACACGGACGACGCAGTGCCGAGATCATCAGCGCCAGCGCCGAAGTAGTCGATGATGCCTGTGGCAGCGAAGTTGTTCACGCCGAAGAGTTGGAGGTTGTGGATTTGATCGGCCGCTGCGAGTGTGTAGCTCGGTGCGGCATAGAGATGGGCGCCGCGGCCACCAGGGACGAGGATGCGGCCTGGCCTAGTGCAGAGGCGGCCTCGGGTGTGTAGAAGTTGCCGGACGGACGATTCATCGTGATGGTAGTTGTTGCCGAGGTGGTCGCTGGACTGATAATGGTTCACTTTGCCTGTCGACGGTGGAGCTTGTTGTGCTGCTGGCATGCCAAGTGCACCAATGTTGTCGAACACCTTGTTCTGGTCACCGCCAGCACCAACGTGATCATTGACCATGCTATCCTTGCCGTCCGCGCCGATGTGGTTTATGGTTGCGGTGTGGTCAATAACGTCGTACGCCTTGTTTTTCTCGTGGCCTGCTCCGATGTGGTGCAGAACCACTGCGAGGGTGCCGTTGTCGTGGTAGAGCTCGTCGTCCAAGCCCGCACCCGGCTTGGCGATGACAGCATCGTAGAGCATGCTCTCATCAGAGCTCACTCCGCTGCCCGCACCGATGTGGCTCAAGGTCGCCGTCTGGGGGATCGAGCTGTTCTTCTTGCAGCTCGCTCCACCATGGTGCAAGACCACTGCGAGGGCGCTGTTGTCGCCATAGAGCTCGTCGCCGGAGCCCGCACCCGGCTTGGCGATGACAGCGTCGTAGAGCATGCTCTCATCAGAGCTCACTCCGCTGCCCGCGCCGATGTGGCTCAAGGTCCCCGTCTGGGGGATGGAGCTGTTCTTCTTGCAGCTCGCTCCGCCGTGGTGCAAGACCACTGCGAGGGTGCCGTTGTCGCCGTAGAGCTTGTCGCCGGCGCCGATGTGGTTCAAGGTGTCCATGCTGCCTGCCGCCGGTGGAGCTTAGTGACGCCTTTGCGACGTCAGGAACCCGAGGGTCGACAGTGAGAGAGAGAGACACCTCTACGAAATGTGCTTTTGTCTAATGTGGTAGTATGATTTTGAGGCGAATCCCCTGTCCTCTCGCGCTTAGATAGAATTGTTGTTTTAGCTTAGGACAAATGTGCCCCTAAACTCTAATGATCTGCAGTGGCAACTGCTGACGTGGCATGCCAACACTGGAGGTCGCGGCTGATTCCGGATTGGCTGTAATAATACCGTCAAGTTTTTATAAATTTAAACCAATACGGCCCCACCAACCCAAGAGTTCGAGGCTTTGAGCCGGTATACTAGTGCGCAGGATTCTCCACAGTGGTAGTTAATCGCTGGAAGCGAACGTGTTCAAACCGCGGTCCGATGGAGCAACGAGCAGGTTCGAGTTCGGTGGAATTTCTCTCACATCGTTTGTGTCCAATTTGCGTGTTTTTCATTGACTTGTTCTTCATCTATAGTCAATTGTTTATTATAAGTTACTAATATGATTTAGACTATCGGTGCGACTATAAGTCAATGATTGCGAAGCAGATGCGCAGCGCAGTGGGAAGATTGGGGACGAGGAGCGACGGGGGATGGATGGGCTGGAGAGCGCGGCGCCGCTAGGGGGGGGGGGGGGGGGGGGGAGGACGCCGGCGGTGAGGTGATGCAGCGGGGAGGTCGTCGGCGCGTAGAGAGCATGGCGGGATGGATGGAGACTCCAATCCCATGGTTATGCCCGCAAGGAAGGCGGGGGAAGGCTGGAGGCAACGTTTCTGTTCTACCAGCAGCTCTTCTTCATCAATTCATGGTGAGCAGCAAGAACTAGGGCTGGAAACTGTCAATCAATTTTTCTTTAATACGAATATGATATCCTCCTCCTCCTTTTTTTTTTCTTTTCATACAATTATGCTAGTGGTGTTAGACGACTACTTTTAATTCAATGGTAACCGTGATGTTAGGACATAAGATTGCAGTTTGATGTAGCTGATGTAATAATGTTCATGCTGCTACACTACTGAACATCTCTATATACAGTATGAGCAATTTTATAGTCCTTGAGGAGATACTATGAGGTACCATTTTTTCTATTGTAAATTTGGTATCTCTTGGTATCTAGATACTATGAGGTACCAAATTTTACACTAAAATTTTGATACCTCACGGTACCTCCTCAAGAACCATAGAATTGCTCATATAGTATAGTTTCTGTTCTCCATTTGCATAACACCAGGCTAAATTTTTCTGGGCCCTGTTTTTTGAGAGACTATTTGCGACTGATCTGCGAACAATAGAAAAGACTTACTTTCTTTAGGGTGTGGATTGTCTTCTGTTTGGGGTCTTTGGCAAACCAGAAACAAAATGGCGATTGAATCAGTGTTTTTGTTCCCCTGTTAGGCCCTGTTGATGTTTCCTTCGTTTGCAAAACTTAGATATGTTAGTCTTTTGTTTCCTTCATGTTTAGCTGTTGTCCCCAGCCCTCAAACTTCTATATCCCAAACTCGCTCTCAATAAAATCAAGGGCCCTGCCCTTTATCCAAAAAAAAAAGTTATATATGAAAACGATTCAACTTGAATATCCTTAGGTTTAATGAAGTGAAAATTTAACAGTTAGGACGAAGCATCACCTAAATTCTTTTGGTCCTTTTTCGTATTAATTGTGATGCACTCTAGTCTTATTTACACTTCATCTCATTTGTTAGTATGATCCAAGAAAATTACTGTATGGCTCGAGTTTGTCCATGGCATAATCTGTTATAATGTATCATTTGATGAAGATGTACAAAACATCACGTTGCCTAGTTCTTCTTTTGATTGTTGATCTAATTATTGGGCACATCATAGCTGAAAATAGGACTTGATTACTGATTGCACAAGGTTTAAAATCTTTCTATCTCATGGCCGTTGAATTGTTAATCTTTTCCCTGTACACATGATTTTTTTTCTAATTGCAGCTCAAATTCATAGGTGGTATGTTTTTCCTTCAGGTATAAGCTGCACTGTAAGAAGAGCAAAGTTGGCAATTTACCTTGAAGGAAACTCATGATAAATGTGAATCAAGAGAAAATTGCTATAGGTCTCTCCAGTTGCTTCCATGCTGAGTATTTTAGAGATGAAATAACACTCTTTGCAATTCTGTGGCTGGTGGATCAATTAATACATGTAAGACAGATACTAATGCATATTCCAACTTTTCTACATAACATTCAAAGTCGATCTCTATCCAAAAATAGAAGGTACAAAATCTTCGTTAGGTCAAGCTTTGCAGACCCAACTAAGTTGTTCAAGGTCTTTTTGAAGAAGCCTGAAGAATCAGTGGGAATGCAATATTCAGATCCAGAAGGGCTCCACAATAAGAGGTATGCCATTGATTATTGATTCAGTTGATCTTTGGGATAACCAATACATTTTCTAAAAAGCACTATGGCATAATACACTACTATCTGATAAGAATAAGACTAAATGGATAAGACAATGTTTCCTGTTATGCCCCCACACCTCTTCTATGGTCAATGATCCCTTGAAACATGAACTTACAAAGCATATTGGTGTTGATGCCTCCTTTACCCGGTCTCATTGCCATCAGAAAACAATTGCTCTTCAGTATTCCCTTAGAATTGCAAGTAGCAGTTTTTTTTTTCACTAAATCGCAAACTCGAGAGCATCATCGGCTTCCTTCATTTACTCAAACCAATGCTTCAGATCCTCCCCTTCCACCTTGAGTTTGAAGGGGGGTGTTAAGTATATCAAACATTCAAGCACATATCTTGTAGGCCCATGTGGCTCATGAGGACTCTGTATAACATCATCATCCCTGAGGGATAATGGTCTTTCTCAAATCTCCAAGGTAATTAACAGACCTTAGAGGGAGCAAAATACACCATGCTAAAGTAGACGATCAGGCTATCACTGTAAAATCAAAGTGTTTTTGATTATTATTCTGTGATGAACAATTGGACATTGGAGATTATTGGTTTTGTTATTTAGAATCTATTCACGAAGTGGTTTTTGAGATGATTGGATTTTACAGGTGAATCGCAGGATCGTCATTTTATGTGACCGGTCAGACCGGGTAGTGTGTGCCGGTCAGACCGGCGTGTAATGCGCGGTCAGACCGGCGCAGCCCACGGTCTGACCGGCCGACACTGTGTCGGTTTCGGTTTTGAGTTGTTTATTTGGATATCCGAATTTATTTTATGATTATGACTTCTAGATGACTCGATGTCAAGTTGGAGATAGCTTGGTCTCGGAATATAGTTTCTTTGTTTATTTCATGTGTAGGTGACTCGATGTCTCGGGAGAGTATTTGCGGTGATGGACCGGGAGTCGGCTTGGGGATAAGATGACGTCCATGGTGGTCAGAGATCATGTGGGATACTTAGGCTAGAGTTGATGCACATGGTTGATGGAGATTCCATATGGCATACGATGGAGTTATTGTGTGCGTATGGGATGCGGAGTCGAATTTGGAAGGAGTCTAAATTTGGTACGATTGGTTATGTAAAGTTTCTTTCTTGTACTAGAGGATTTCCTAAGGTGTTTAGAACTCCTAGTATGAGTTTGGTTCGTGGCTTTAGGCTGCCTACCTCATGTATAAATAGAAGGGGAGCGTGAGGCCTCCCGGTATCGCTTTTGAGAGCAATAGAGTTGAGTTTTGAGTTAGGGTTTCGAGTTTAGTCGAGATTTTTGTAAGGAGTGATGTTGGTGCACTTTGAAAACACAGAGAGAATCAATAAAGTCGTCATGTACTTTAAGAGTTCTTCGATTTGTGTTTCATCGAGTTTCGGCGGTCTAACCGGCGATCTACCGGCGGTCAGACCGGTGGGAGCACGGCGGTCAGACCGGCGGCGGCGACAGGCGCGGCAGGCAATCTCGGCGGTCAGACCGGAGATTCAACACCGGTCTGTCACACCCCAATCTGATACCGCCGTACAACGGCACCTGATAGGAGCGTGTCGTAGGGAAAACAGCGCGAACCGCTTCCTACGAAACCGCGATCTCGGTACCAGTCCCAGGACATAGTGCTGGTACCCACGGTGACAAATATGAATCATAGCAATCCTTAAAATAAATAGAGGACTTATTTACCTTAACTTAGGTTGCAGCTCAGACAGCCCGAGAATACAACCGACGACGCGGACGAGGAAACACCAACAGCAGCAGCAGCAGCGGAACCAACGGTCTAACACCCAACACCACAGGCGACGGCTGGGAACCAGGACGAAACCCTAATCTTCACTTCACTTTATCTTCTCTTCAGGGCGGAGGAACTATATATATATTTATATAGAGCAAGGGTGAGTACTTTCGTACTCAGCAAGTCACGGGAACTTAGGTGTTTAATGCAAGCTTGGAAGAGAGGCAAGGTTGTTTTGCAAATCTTTTATTTGAAGATATTTTGAAATCACTAAGTGATTTATTTCTTTCTAAGTTTGGGCCGAAAAGAGACTTACGTCTCGTTTCGACCTTAAGAGATGTTTTTCAACAGCTCATTTGGTAATGTACCGACCTCCCGGGTCAGATCATTACTTCTCGGCTCCCAGAGCCATTCCACTTGATTAATCGGCTCCCAGAGCCTTTTTCATTTTCTCGGACTCCCAGAGTCCAGCTGCCCAGCAGCACAACAATCCGCTTCTACTCGGGAAGCCTAGTCTATGATGCCCTCAGACATCCCGAATCACACAGATTCGTTTCTGACCACTCAGGTCATCCATCTGTCACATAGGCTGATTCTGGTTACGATTCCCACACCACAACAACTTTTCACAAAGCACAGGCAAACAAATCTACGCAACGGGAACCACCTCACATCCGCCCATGACCGTGGGCACGGCTGTTCGAACAGTTAGTTAACCTCTGCAGAGGGGTACACTTTACCCACAAGATACGAACTTATTCCGAACACCCGTCGGTATCGGAGGTTCGCAACAAAGCCTTTCCCAAGCCGACCCAGGGTTACCTCATGCCACATAGAAGGATCAAATCCTCACATAAACATAGGCCTTTTTAGGCGTTCACAAATCAAACTCCAACCACCTTGATCGGTAAGTGAGCAAGCTTCTCGTCCTTGCCTTACTAAGAACCCGGTTTGTCCGACCCCGCCCCGGCGTTCCCAACTATTGGCATGCGAGGCTTCCCTGAATCGACTAGTTACTTAGCCAGGGTGTCCCATTCCACCTTGTGGTTGCACTTTGATTATGTTCGATGAGTTTCCCACAGGAATCGGTCCTTATATGCGAATACAGGACAGTGCCACATAGGCACAACCCCCGCATCGCGAGTTTTCACAATTCATTTTATTTTCAAACACACCGACACCACATGTCGGGTTTTGAAGGCTTCACAAACCCATTTCCCAAGTTTTCGACAAACAACGGTGTATGTGGGATATTTGGTATACGCGCTCAGAGAGCACGAATACCGAGGTACCACAAGGGTGGAGCGACAAGGAATCAGGGTAGTACGACCTACGGAAATTAGTGCGACTACTGGGTAGGTCCGTCGGTTTGGCACGCAAACCGAGGCCAAGCAAGTTAAGTGTGTGATTCTAATAATGCCAGTTGCAAACAAAATAATAATGATTTTCCAATTATAGGAGCAATTGGTCAAAGGGTGACTTGTCTTTCTCAAGGTCTTCACGAAGCTTTACGAATCTTCGAGAAATCCCATGATCGACGAAAATCCGATAACCGCAACTATACGCAAACAATCGAAAACCTAAACAAAAGACCAAAAGAAAGATCCTATTTAGACTAAATAATAGTGCCATTAAACAGATCTCAATTTTACGGAATTATTGGAAGTGGAACGGAGTCGATCGGAGCTACGGATCAAGGGATATGAATTTTGGAGGTCTAAATGGATTTTCTGGACAAGGAAATGTTTTGTCGGAATTTATGGAAATAATATTCTCAAGAATATTATTGACAGTCACTGACCAAGGAAAATGATTCATGGAATTTTGGAATAAGGAATTGATTTCTGAAAGAGGGAAAAATGATTTATTGAATTTATAGAAAAGAGAAATATTTGTGGAGTATTGGAAAAGATATTCTCAAGAATATCTTTGACTCATTGACAAGTGGGGCCAACAAGAAGTGAGAGTGAGAGAGGATAGATGGGCTGCGGTCCAATGGGTGGCGGATGTGGTAGGGGGAGGACGAGGGAGCAAAGTTAGACTTTGTTCCACGGCAGCTGGTTTGGAAGAGAGACGCAACATAGACTTTGTTCCAAGGAGCGAGGAGAGAGGTGAGGCCCATCAGCTAGCGAGAGAGAGAGAGAGAGAGGAGATGGGCCGGCTCGGGTTGGGCGGCCCACGGCCGGGTGGGCGTGGCCGAGCCGAGCCAGGCCTGCGCGCGCGGGCGACGCTGACCGGTCGCTGCTTGACCCGGTCAAGCTGGGCCGGCGGGCCAGGGTGGCGGCCACGTTGGCACGGGAGAGAGAGAGGAGAGGAGCCGGGCCGGAGATCGGACGGCTCACGGCGCGCGGCGGAATCCGGCGAACGGTGGCAATCCGGAGCGAGCGGCGGGCACCGGAAGCGAGAGGGGGTCACGGAGGTTCCATCCACCGGCTCGGATATGGGAGAGAGGCGCGACGGAGGCCGGCGACGGCGGCCGTGCGGCGGCGGGATGGGTGGCATGGCGCGGGAGCAAAAGAGGAGGCCGGCGGCGGAATTGGCGGTTTGGGGTGGTTCATTGGAGCTCAAGGTGGGTGGCGGCGAGGGGATTCGGCACGGGACCGACCGGCGGCGGCGCGCGACTGCGCACGGCGGCGGCGGGAGCAAGGCACCGGCAAGGGCGCGATTTGGAGGACGAACGCACAAACTACCATGCCCCAGTGCTGTTTAGGAGTCGCTAGAGGATATAGATGAGAGGATTTGGGCGGGGAGCTCACCCATGAGCGGGAACGGCGGGGCGGATGGAGTCGCGGCGAGGCAGACGTGACGGCGGGGCGGCACGGCGCGGAGAGTGAGAGGGGAGGGCGCGGGCTTTATAGGCGAGGAGGAGAGGTCGGTTTGGAGGAGGGAAACCGACATTGGCGGTCAAGGGAGCTCGGCTGGTGTTCACGGGCGGCAGCGGCGGTTTCGTGGGCAAAGCGAAGGCGGCGACGGTGTGGATGCGTTGGGCGGCGAAGGCGGTGGATCGAGCGGCGGAAAATCGAACCGCGGGAGCGGGAGGATTAGCGCGGGCTGGCGCGGTCAAGGTGGGGGCGGCGAGCTGGCGCTGGCGTCTGTGTCTCTGCCTCCGAGCGCTAGCGGCCAAGGAGCGGAGGCATGGCGTCGTTGCTTGGGAGGGAAAAAGAGAAGGGAGGACGGTGGAAAGGGGGGACTTTACCATGCCGGTTTGGGAAAAAGGAGGTGGGAGAGGGAGTGCTCTGCCTTCGGGATTTGGATGGACGCGGGTGGAGCGGCTTGGGCACGCGCTGCAGAGCTTGCGGCAGGCAGCGGGGCCGAGCGGCAGCATGACGCAGGCGCTAACGGCGGCGGCGACCGGGCGGTTGCGCGGCGCAGGCGCGGCAGGGCTGACGGCAGCAACGACCGGCCGGTCGGCCACGCGCGAGCGCGGGAAAGAGCAAAGGCGGTGGCGAGTTTTGGGCGGCGACGGCGGGAAGCGGCGTCGGCGCGAGAGAGAGACATCGAGAGAGAGAGAGAGGGAGAAACAGCGAGAGCGAGAGAGACAGAGAGAGCGAGCGACGGCTCTCTCTCTCTCTCGGCTCGCATGCGTGCAACGCACGTGCGAGGGGGGGGAGATGATGGGCTGGGAGGGGAGATGGGCCGGGGAGGAGAGTCGGTCCATCCAAAAACATAGGGAGGTAAAGTAGACTTTTACAGAGAAAACTGATTTGGATAGAATTGGAGAGATTTAGGGTTTGGATTCGAATTCAAATTTGATATTCAAACTCGAGGGTTTAGGGATATATCAGGGGAAACTCAAGGAGAAGTCATGGTAAGGATTCAAAAGGAATACTTGGATATTTGTTCTCGGGAACATAGGGTGGAGTCTAGGAAAGGATTCGAGGCGGGATTTGAATAATTCTGGATTCGTAGAAGTATTTGGCGAGGATTCAAAGGAAGGATTTGAATTTCAGAATTTGATTTCAGAGACTCGAATCGGAAGAGGAATTTGGATGAGGGGGAGGATTTTTGATTTCGATGAGAGGGAACAACGGGATTAAATTGGGATCCTTGGCACAACTTAGACTCTCACACAGAGAACGAAAATTTTCGCATTTAGGATTTTGCCGAATTAGTTTTTTAACGTCTCACGAAAAGCGGAGCATTACACGGTCAGACCAGCGGCATCCACTCGGTCAGACCAGCAGATCAATCTCGGTCAGACCGACT